TTGTATCTTTTGTAGAGACAGAGTTTTTTTTCTATTCTTTTTTTTTTTTTTTTTTCCCTCTCTTTTATACAGTGCTCATAAAATATTTTTCTTCTTTCTTGATACGTCGTTCTTTTTCGATATGCTGTTAATTTAGTATCTTTAATGAGTCTTAATCTATAATTGATTACAAAAATATTTGGCCACATTGGATATTTAATATAATTTTATGAATAATTGTATATTATAAAAGAGTAAGTTGATATAAATTTTTGATTTTATATTTATTATTTCATTCTATGATAATAGTTTATTTTCAGATTTAAGATGAAATTAAAGTGAATTGATAGATAGATATACAATTGGTTAAAAATATAAATATGGATATTTGTTTATTTTTGAAATCAAAAAATTAACCATTTTATATTTATTCTTTTTTTTTTATTATTATTATAGTTGTATGTATAATAGATTAATATTATTTATGTTAATGTTAATGAAGACTTTTATACTTAGTAAAGTTTGTTTGTTATTAAAGACAATCTTCATTAATTTAATTTTTAAATAAAATAAGTTTTTCTAAGATTTTTCTAATTTAGAAAGCGCTACTAATTCAAATAACGATTTCTACAATTGGTAACTATATAAGTTACAATTTTTTTTAATTTATTTAATTTCAATATTAAATTTTAATAAACTTTTTAATTCAAATTTATAATTGAATGATTATAATTGAACAGAATTGCTATTTTTAGTCATTGATTTATTATTAATTTAGTAAAAGTATTTTTATTATAAATTGTTTTTAATATGCAAATATTTAAAATTAGAAATTAAAAAATTTTATTATTTAATTACGAAACAATTCGTATATATAGTACATATATAAAATTTTAGAAACTCATTTTTCTTTTATTTATTTTTTTTAATGAACGAAATTTATTAAACAATTTATTAAACAATACTTACATTACTTTATTAAAAAATACTTACATTAATTTAAACCAAAATTTTATATGTAAATATTATTTAGAAATACGAAAATACAGAATTTTGATTAATTTTCAAATAAATGAATGAAATTTTTAAATTTTTAAATTTAATAATTTCTTAATTTCATTTAATAATTTTCGATTAAAATATCGATTAAAATACATTAAAAAAATAAAAATTCAATTAACATTAGAAGAAATAGGAATAAATTTCAAAAAATATAATGAATTAGTAAAATAAAGAAAAAAACTATAAGAATTATAAATATTAAAAATCTTGCATTATTTTTCCTTTATATTTGATTTTAAAAAAATATTTTAAAAAAATTTTATAAGGATATTCTTACTTAATATAATAATCACTAATATAATAATCACTTGTTTTATAGAATGTTATTTATATTTATTTTTATAGAGATTATAATCATTTTTATAGAGATTTTTATAGAGATTATATTTATATTTATAGAGATTATAATCATTTATTGAGAATCTTAGACAAATTTAAGGATTATGAGAATGGTTTAATGAGAAAATTATCTACAAAGTTTTGTGATATTAAACTAATGTTTAATGATGCATAATGTGATCTAATGATCTAATAATTCACTGTTTGACATCAAAGTAGTTGATTTTAGAACAGTTTAATGTGTGTGTGAAGTAGCCATGCAGAAAGATAATTTCGATAGTTTAGAAATTATTGGTATTCGACAAATTAGTATTGTCAGTTCTAAATTATCATAATTAAATATAATTAAATGAATAGTTATATCGAATAGCATATTATAAAATCCAAAAAAATGTTTTTTTAAAATAATATTTAAAGAAAATATTAAATTTTTCAATATAAATAATAATAATCATGATATAATTAAATTTTTTATAAATTTTTCACAAATTTAGAAATAAAATTATAAGATCCAAAATAAAATGAATGCATATTATTAAATAATCAAATTAAATTTAAAAATTAATTAAATTTGAAATAATTCATTCAAATCAAATATTTAAAATTAACAGCTAATTTAATTGCTGATTGATTTACCTAATGATTTTGATTATGAATTTCTTAAAAATAGACTTCATATATTTGTCACAAAAATAGAAATCACATATTTACATCCATTTTACTACGTCATTTTATTACAGTTTTCCAACTATATAGATCGTTATCTTCATAGGTAGCTGATGTTAATCTGAATAAACATTAACAGATTATTTGCAAATATATCTCATCATAAATCCTCAACTACATATTCGGAACAAGTATTCGCAATCGATATTTTGAATCGTGTTCCATTTAAATAATATGATAACATAAATTAATATCCATTGATATTCTATATCTCAAAATATCGTAGTAGTAACATTATAATCTTCCACTCCAATCAAACATTCCTGTAAAATACTTATTCTCTATAAAATGCTTAACTATAAATCTAAATATTTCAATTTCATTATATTTTCTTCATCTAAAAACTTTTTTTCGAACGTACAATTTACAAATATTCTTATCAATTCCGTTTTAAACATTGCAGTAGCGTTGTGACGCAAAGATCGACTACTGTGATGCCTCAAACGCCTACTACAGAGATGACGGACCCACCTCCACGACAACCACCCCCGATGTTCCCGCCGATGCCAACGCCACCAAAGAACAATAATAACAAGAGGATAACGTCCGAGGCGGCGGAGAATGCTGCCTTAATAATTGGCATCATAGCCGCGGCGTTGATCGCCATTGTTCTGATCATACTGATCATCCTCAAGTTCAAAAATCGTCCAGAGACCAGTTACAAAGTTGACGAGACGAAAACCTTCTGCCAGGATCCAAATGCGGCACTGCTGGGCGCCGCTGGTTCCGGTCAACCGTTCAATGGTCCCTTGAAAAATGGCGCCAATGGTAGCAAAACTAACAAGAAACGAGAACTGATAGATATCAAAGAGTGGTATGTGTAGAGATGGCTCGTCTTCAAGATTCATGCGTCCGCTTGAATTGCACACGTGCTTCTTCATCTTGTGGCAAGATGAATAATAGGAAACTCTGAGAACTTGACGAGGAACGTATAAGCCTCTTCTTAGGTCCTTATTGGTGCTAGGAGAACTATTAAATATAATTTTGAACACAATATTGATCAGCATAAAATAGTGTGTTCCTTGTGGGCGAACGAATGAAAAAGAAGAAAATAGTGTTCGATTTCAATTTAATGAATCACGAACTAATTTAAACGTCGTGATTTAGCTAAATCGTTAAATACGATTTAAACGAGGTTCGACGATCATCGATCATCAAAAGATCAGATCTCCTCAAAGCGTTAGATGAACCATAAGCATATCTATAATATTATGTATATCGATGGTGATCGAACCTGGTCGATGATTATGCTATTTGAAATTGTATGCATCAAAATGCAAGACAGCATCTTGTACGACAGACACTGTTTGAGGTTAGGAACGTCAATTGGTGTCGTAGATGTCGCCGCGCATCAAAAAAAACCAAGATCAATCGCGCCGATCGGAAATACAGAAGAAGAAGAAGAAGAAGAAATGCTGATCAGAAAGAAAGAAGAAAGGAAGAGATAGAGGCATGAAAGTGCATTGGAAAAATAAATCGAATAATTGTGCCGATCGAAAAGAGCGGTGGCGGACGTAGAGCACGGCGTTATTACTCTTCGTTAGAGCGATGCTCGGCTTTGATTCCAATACTTTCTCAGTATTTTGCAGTGCTGAGTGACGTCAAGCACAGGCAACGAAATTTATAGCATTGAATCCTTGAAATACGATTGCAATCACATAAGAAAGAAAAAGAAAAATAGAAAGATATTGTGAATTCTTGTTATAGACTCAAAATCAAACTTCTTTCTTGTTGCTACGTATTGTTAGTTGTGTATTATATTCATTATATATGGAAAAATTATTACGTACTATAATAATATTTACATGTGCATGATCCTCCTTTTTTTCTCCATTTTCAAAAGAAACTCGGAGAAAAAAAAATAATTCGAAGATAGATATTATATCTATGAAGTATACGTATTTCGAGGATGGAAAAAAAAATAGAAGAAGAACAATTTTGCTTTTGTTTAAACGTTGTCATAGTCCATGATACATACGTACACGGATACGAGAAAGTGTTGGAACTAACGCGTAAGGACGAAAGTATCAATACAAACGATCCTATCTAGCGATTAATGAACTTATTGTTGTATAGAAGAAGAAAAAAAAATATATATATATACGATATTTATCGATTATGTTATGCGTGTAAATTGTTTATTAAATTATAGATTTTATTAACACAACAGTGGAAGAAAGAGTGCATGTATGTATGCATGGAAACGATATGAAAGGGAGAGAGATAGTCTGCGTTGTTTTGTTTGAATATGATGAAGCGGTTCGAAGTAACGTTGATGTATTAACCATAATTAAATGCATCATTGCGAAGATGTAAACTCTAAATGATCGCGCGCAAAAATGCTCGGAGGACACTGTCGTAGTAGTAAATGACACATAGCTACGCGCAGATCGATGCTTATACGTATACACAGGGTGTGAATGTATTGCCAAAGAATATAAATCGAGTTTAACCAGTGTTTAACCCTTTGATGTCCGATATTGATCTTTAGTTGAACTATCATCACATATTACTTCTTAATATGTACTCTCTTTATTTCGACGTTTGTATGATATATTTTTCATTATAATTATAATCATTTGTCAATTATAAATATTTTTTTATATTTTATATCTTTCTTTTTTTTTTTCCTTTTTCGCAATTTCTTTAATCTTTTCTACTCTACCAGATATTTCGATGTATATAGTGTGTACCGAATTTCGTCAATTTAAATAAATAAAGTTTTCTGTAGAAATATAAATTCTACTATGGATTTTTTGAAAATGGGCCGCAAAGGGTTAATTATATTGGTACATCACACAAATTATTGTGAATATGCAAACTTGTTACTATTGAACTCTTTCGCCTCTATAAACACTCTCTAGAGGCTTATCTTCCAGTTTTCTATCGTCGAAGTCTTATGATGAACGCACGAATAATCTTTCACTCAACTAGTTTTCCTTAAACGCGGCGAAAGTATAATAGTGGGCAAAATATTCTATATTTTCGTATCATATTGCTCAATCTTATTTTTCAATAGATATCTGGTTAAGACTGGTGTTTGCTAGTTAAATTTGCAAGTTAAGATTAGAAATATAAATATAGATACTTTTATTATGGATAATAAATTTGAAACGTGTAAATAGATCTAAATTTTTGATGTTTTAATACATATTATCTTAAAGAAATAATTCTAATATTATTAAAAATAATATTTCATAGTTGTTTAATTTTTAAATAAATTATTAGTTAAAAATAACACCAGTCTAGATTGCAAACTACTCAGTTAATTTAAAAATCTTCGCAAAAATTATATATTTATTAAGTCCTTATTAATATAACTTAAATAGATTGCTAAAATTTTTGGTATAAGTAATTCGATTAATCTTGTTATTGTCTACTAAATTATTCCAAATTTCTTTAAAGAAACCAATTCATCAAGAATTTGTTAGTTCTCAAAAAATTATTATCTAGAAAACACAAAAACCATAAAATTGGTCGATTTCGCAAAAAAGCAATAATGATTGTCATTGATTTTCAAACTATTGACGTGCACTTCTAAATCGATCAATTTTGTTGTCGAAAAGACGGTGTGATATGTGACGGTGGATGAACGAAAGGGAGAGAGAGAATGTGAAAAAATAATGTTTAGATACGGTAATAAAAGGGGTCTCCTTAATCCTTGACTAAAAACGAGATGCAAAACGTCCGATTGTTGAATGGTTTATAAGGTATAACTTTGTAAACTGCTCAGTACGAGCTAATAACTCGCCATTTTTTCTAAAAACGACGTACCTTGAACATCATGAAATCCTAAAGTCCGATAAAATAAAATAAAATAAAAGATGAAAATTAAAAAAAAAATGTCGAAAGAACAAAATGAAAGAAAAATATAAAATTTCTCATATTCTTCGTTGTCTATTCTTTCGTGATTTTCAAAAAATATAAGAATAATTTTAATATTGTTAATTAAATGTTTGGGATTTTAAAAGGATTCCATGGAGGTTAAAGATTCGAGGAACGCCGAAAAATTTGTTTTTTGCTCGCGACTCGACTTTGTGCCATTCTCTAAATGACTTCTAGAGAAACTTCTTGGATTTTCATATCAAATTTATTTATTCTTGTTAATTGTCAATGAAGTCCAACTTGAAATGTATTTGCTAACAAATGAACTCATTAGTCTCATTATCGTTACGATTCGTGTTTTGACTCGTATCCTTATGACTCTACAGAACTTCGTTATAGCTTCGTCATTATAGCTCGATTACTTCTCTAATTATCAATGATAAATATGCTTTTATGGCCGAATATCAGACAGGCCACCATTTTCATAAATCGTATCATAGACATTATTGTTTCTAAATATTTAATTTTTATTTGATTAATCGTCGATTCTGATTGCTATCATATCGTTTTTCTATCGTTTCAATTTCTCTATTGAGAAATTTAATGAATTTTCTTTTTTAATACAAGCTTTAAAGATTTTTCAAATGCTTCTAATATACAAAACTATAAAATGAAACTATGAAAGTTATAATTAATTAAAAAATCAAATTTTTTAAACAAAATAAAAATAAAAATGTTGTTAGCATGAAACATCGCTTTTGATAATATCAGAATATAAGCTCTCAGGGAAGCACAATTCATTTTTAATTAAAAGAAACTCCGAAACCAAACTAAATCAAATCAATTTACGAACTAACGCATATCAAAATGAAACTTTTTAATAGATTGTCCGCTCGATACAAAAAAAAGGAAATCGATGAAACGGTGAATCCAGAATATCACAAAGAAGAATATCACGATACTTTCAATAACTTATCAATACAATACTGATTTTCTGTTTTCTCTTGACAAAAGAAAAGATTCATACAACATCGACAAACACTTATGCAAATATAAATCAGAAATGTGTTTGTAAGTATGTACACACATTTCGAATTGTCATCTAATATAAAGATAGTGCAGTCACATTTATTTCCATATATCGATCGAATATACGGAAATCATTATCAATTTATGAATGGAAAGAACCAAAAATGAAATAATTGTTTTTGCAAAAAAATATTTCTAGAAACACAATCAATATTTGCATTAGACTCTTTAAAAATTGAAAAAAAGAAAAAAAATGAAAAATGCAAATAAAAAAAAGACGAACAAATGTGTACAATTTTTAAGTAATACCGTTTCATATCTTAATTATACAAGAGCTTGATAAATTTAAAATCTAAATATAGCACGATTTTTATTAATTACTGAAAAAATGAAAATCATAAATCTAATTCTTCGCTTTCTTTTTTTCTTTTTTTTTTTTTAAATTTTTTCATTATTCATTTTTCATTATTCTTGCGATACTTCATTCAATTGATTCGATTGAATAAAAAACAATTACAATTATACACGACGCTTAAAATGGCACAATAATCTCTATTCTCTCGACTTTATCGATCTTCATCCTCGAAATCATTCGTAGGCTATAGAAAATGATAAGTCGATGCGGATTTTGTATATTTACGTGGCTAAAGTTTGGCTAAAGTGGGCAGTCTTAACGATATCGCTGTTGCATCGTTGACACATTTACAAATAATAAATTTTCGACATAAAATATCATATTTCTTATGATGTTATTCTCAGACATGAAAATTTTTGAGAACTGAAACGAATGATTAATAAAAATAACACAATGCAATATATAATATATAAAATATATAAAATAATTTGTTTGTCATAATTAACAAAACATCTTGGCACTTTCGTATTAACGGGAAACAAATGATAATATGATAATATTTATTTAAATAAAACATCTTCTATTTAAAAATTAATATTAATTTTTTTACATACATTAGATTATGAAATTTTGTTCGAAATTATTTGCTATCTTCTCATTGTTGAATTATGATGCATAATCGATAATTGAGAATATATGAATTTTTTAAATCATTTATTGAAAATAATTTTTTTTACTAATTTGTGAAAAATGAAAGAATTTTAACTTCATTAAAATACAATATTAAATCTTCAATCATATTATTTCTCCATTTAAAAATCTCATTTAAAAACATATAACATAATACATATATATAACATTATTTTAATTAGATATCTATATCTCACGAATTGTATTATATTCCATATAAAATGACCCATCCTGTATCATATAAGTGCGATTAAATACGCGTTTTGTAACATATATATACAAAAAAAAAATTCAAAACAAATATTAAGTACAAAGATAATTTTTTTTAACAATAAATCATGTATCTTCACATGACCAAAAACTCATAACCATGTCTTTTAAATATGAATCGAATAGTTTATCGGATTAATTCACCTCATCAGTTCTTGAGATCATAAATTTTTCAATGATATATTTTTCGTTAATATGAAAGTACCTTAGTAAATTTTATTGTTTTTTTTTCTAAAAGAAAAAAAAATATGAAACCGTTTTACTATCTCGCTCTGGCATATCGCATGGCAGAAAATGACAAACCATATCATTAATCAAGAATATGTGTTCACCAATTATCATAAAAACGCGAACATATTGTTATCACTGCCCTCCAAACTCTCTATCTGCATATCCTTCAGTGTACTGACGATTAATATTTATACTAAACTAATTAACTTCTAATAAAATATCTTATCGAGCAAAATGTTACTCTACTTACTTAAAATACTAAAATCTTGAATTTAAGTGTGTCGTGAATATGACGATAAATGTGACGTCATATTTACACTTAATTATTACCATGTAATATGGTAACAAAGAAAATATATAAGAAGAAAGAAAAAATAAAGAAACAAAGAATGTAAGATAAAAGAAAAAAAATGATAGAGCGGAAGAGAAAAATGAAACAAATATTATGTGCAAAGAATATGTGCGTGTATGTATGTGTTTGTGTATGTGCATGAAAAAAAGAGATGGAAAAATCACATGTCTGCACGCAAAAAAAATAATAGCGTGACATATGTATATCGCGAATCGAAAATTGTTGGATAGTATGCAAGCAAAAAGAGAAAAGAAAAAAAAAATAATAAGCTCACACACAAGTGTATCTAGAATTGCTATAGCTAGATGGAATTATATTTTACAATTGTACAG